TGATATTGTCATCATACTTCACAACACCGATCTTCGTATTCTGAAGTGCAACCTGTATTGTACTTGTCGTAGCCTTGCTGCTTTCACCACTATCTCCTGCCATTGCTTGCTAACTCTAAATTATAGAGAAAATTCGAACAACTGATAGAATTGAGAAATTACTCAACTTGAACCCTAGATTGGATTCCAACACGAACTCCCAACCACACGAGGAAGGCGAGATCTCCAACTGACAACTCCGCAATACTATCTCCACTGAAGCCTAGATCTCTAAGATCCAAGCTTCCAACAATGAATTTTCCTCCACCCAAAATAAACCCTAGGTCTGAAACCCTAGAGCTCTAATACCAATTATTGCGCGTCGGCGGAAACGTGTGCACGAACCAAACGAGTCGGCGAGCAACGGGAGGAGAACAACCAACGAGTGCAGTTTACAAAAGAACGGCACAAACCAATCACAAACATAGAGATTTACGTGGTTTGGAAAGTTGCCTACGTCCACAGGGAGAGGATGTGGAGTTTTTATTATATGGAGGAGGAAAACAATGGTGCTCAAAGTGCTCAAAACAACATCTTTTTCTCTCTACAGATCTCTTCTAAAACGTTCTATATATATAGAAACTCTAAAACCAAAACAGACTAGGAATCCAACAATTCTAAAACCAAAATCAAAACAGACTAGAAATCCTAATAATTCTAAAACCAAAATCAAAATAGACTAGGAATCACGTTTGGCCGAATAACCTGCTATCCAACATTAACTATAAAATTACAACCCTCAATCTTCATCATAATTTTTGATTTCTAATTCAGTAGAAAGGTCCTTTTAACATTGTCACGATCTACTGCTTTTATTGTATAGTTTTCTGGAGGAACGTTTTTGAGTTACAATATAGTATTATTTTTCCCTTACTCCATTAACATATATAATGGCTAAATACCCATATTGGTATTTTAATTCAACCCCATTTGCCAAGAAGGTATTTTAAATAAAAAAATCGACGTTAAGGCATTTTAATTGATTAAAATTACCAATTAGGTCTTTTTTTCTCGTCGGTCATCACTTTTCCGGCGAGAACTCGTCACGTGCGTGGCACGTGATGACTTAATCTGTATAAATACCCATATTGGTATTTTAATTCAACCCCATTTGCCAAGAAGGTATTTTAAATAAAAAATCATCATTAAAGCATTTTAATTGATTAAAATTACCAATTAGATCTTTTTTCTCGTCGGCGACCACTTTTCCGGTGAGAACTCGTCACGTGTGTGACATGTGATGACTTACTCTGTGTTTTAGCTGATGATGTGGCTCGGTTTGCTGATGTGGCTCGGTTTTAGCTGTTGATGTGGCTTAATCACAATTTAAGTCCAAAACGAACCAACCTTAACCCTAAAAATTTCAAAACAAAGATCAAACTTCCACGCATTCACTCCAGATCTTAGATCCAACTCAATTATCTTACCTTTACCGCTAACAGAAGCAGCCAAAACTCCCGATTCTAGGAACTTCTAGAAGAAAACGCCATGGGAATTCGGAGAGAAGAAAGTGAGAAGATGAAGATCACTGCAGACTAGATTGCCGCCGGCGCGGCCATGGATCGATGTAAGAGAAAGAGGTTCTATTTATACGGTAATTTCTCCACGAATTTTTCGCTAATTTTTTTACCAATTTTAGAAATGGGGGATTTTAAAATGCATCGACTCTTATTCTTCCTGCCACTGCCACATCAGAAAACCGGTTGAATTAAAATGCACGTGACCAGTTCTCGTCAGAAAAGTGGTCGCCGACAAGCAAAAAGACCTAATTAGTAATTTTAATCAATTAAAATATCTTAACGCCGATTTTTTATTTAAAATACCTTCTTGGCAAATTGAGTTGAATTAAAATACCAATATGGGTATTTATACAGATTAAGTCATCACGTGTCACGCACGTGACGAGTTCTCGTCGGAAAAGTGGTCGCCGACGAGAAAAAGGACCTAATTAGTAATTTTAATCAATTAAAATGCCTTAACGCCGATTTTTTTATTTAAAATACCTTCTTGGCAAATGAGGTTGAATTAAAATACCAATATAACTCAGTCATGATCAACCCCGGTCCATCCCATCCTTATTTTATTTTTCGTGTCTCATGAGTCTCGAGCACTCAATATAGGTGTTGAAAAAGGAAGTAGATGACGTTAATGTTCCAATGATATCCTTCTGAAAAGCACTGCCAGTTGTGAGCAGCACAAAGTTAAGTCTTTGTTCTTCATAAGATTAGAAGTATAATTGTAGTTGATGTGTGAGACTACTACTTATTAAATACTAGTATTTCCTGTGCATATTGCTATGTGTGTGTATAATTCAACCTGGAAATTGGAAAATAATGAAAAGTTAGAGGGATAGATGAGTAAGTGAGGTATTAAAAATAGCTAGCGGTGATTAGTAAGGATAGTTATGGAGAACAAGTGATAGACGAAGTTAAAATGGCAATATTTTATCTTTTGAGTTTTTCAAATTTACAATTTCATGATTCTTAAACTATAAGTAAATTATAATGACATTTCATGGAATTGTTTTAATTCGTCACTCACGTATGGATAGAAAGGGGAGATAATAATAATAGATACTGAATATCTATACACGCAGAATAACAGCCACAAATTCATATTGTTCTAAACCATACAAGATAAATGAAAATCTTCATACTTTCTCTCCGCCCCCATGCAAACTGTTCTGTTACAATTTGCACTTGTTCTTATTAGTATGAATTAAAGCACACCTTTTCTTGCTAAAAAATATATGTTAACTAGAGCTATTTATTTCATCGTCAATCTATTTGTTAGAAGTTCCCTGATATTTTTATAATTCGCAGAAAATCTCTCTCTATCGGGGATCATTTTCATTCTATTTGCAAGCAGGCAGTCAAATGTTTTGAAACGCTTTTGAGGTAACCACGAGAGAAATCGGCAATTTTGTGTAGTTGTCTACTTGTCTTAGCCCCGCCCCCCGCCCCCGCCCCCAAGCCCCAACCCCACCCACATGTATGAAGCATAGTGTCCATTAAGCTAGAAGCATCTGTCCCATCACATATTCCCTAAACATATGGTTTTCGGCTCTCAAATATAAACACCCCATCACGAGGTCCTCGTCATCTTTATTAGCTATAATAAAAAAAAATAAAAAAAAAAGAAGGGAGAAACCAAAGCTATCACTCGAGCAAAGCTGACCAAACTAATTTCCTCCTAACAAATCCAGATGACCCACGTGCCACACAAAAAAATAACTAGAATCAGTACAAGATCTATATCAAAATTTAACCTTAGATCAAAATTTAACCTTAAGAGGCTGTTTGGTTGGCTAAAAAAACAAAGAAATTAAAAAAAAACATATTTCCTATAATAGGTTCTTTTCTTGTGTTTGGTTCACTTCTTAAAAGTAAGAAAGGAGATGATATGATATGAGTTGTCACCATATTATTGGATGATATGAGTGATTTTTAATGATGGAAATGAACGAAATTTTATTTTTAATGATTTCCGGTTTTTTTTTTTTTTTTTTAAGGAAACCAACCAAACATTTTTTTTTTTTTTTTTTTAAGGAAACCAACCAAACAACCCCTTACACAGGAGTCAATGGCTCTGAACCCATTTCCTCCCCATTTCTTAACAAACCTCAGAAACAAAAGCATGTTTTGCTAATTTCACGGTAGCAAAGCGATAACTACCAACAACAACAACAGCAGCAACAACAAATTCTAGTTCACCATCTAACTTTCCACGGTCCAACCGAATCCGACCCATTCCCAGCTTGACCGGGGCCCGACCGGACCGTACATGTGAGCGTACCCAATCACCGGACCCACTCCACATGTGCTCCGGCCACGCCCGCCCCCTCAGCCCAAGTGCAGAGCAGAAGGAAAAAACTTACCACGTGGGCCCCCCAAACACAGGCCCAGCCCACGTTTATTTAACCACCGCCGACGCTACTGGCACGCGTACCTTGTATCCTTAATCCTCACCGACCATTTCCTCCAATTCTAGGGCTCCTCTCTCTCCCCCTCTCGAGCTCAAGAAGATCCATCACGCAAATTCACTCGATTTCTCAAAAATGGGCGTTCTAGCATAGATCCCGTTATTTTATCTCCTCTACCAAATACAATGAAGATGGAGGTTGGCAGCGGGGTCGGGTTCTGGTCCGACGAAGAGCGAGCCATTGGCCTCTGGCGGTTTTAGGCCAGCACGCGTGTCGATTACTGACGGCGAGTCACCTAACGGCCGAACGGTCTGGTCACCGCCGTCAGCAACGACGCCGACCTGGCAGACCAAGCTAGTGACCTCGTCGAGGCCCCACCGCCGGGTCAACCACGTGGGCCTACGCTATCTTCTGGCAGATCTCGAGATCGAAATCGGGCGAGCTCGTCCTCGGCTGGGGCGACGGCCATCTGGCGGGAGGCGCGCGACGGGGAGCCCGACGTCGGATCCGGATCCGAGTCCGACGCCCACCAGAAGATGCGGAAGCGGGTTTTGCAGAGGCTCAACGCTGCTCTACGGAGGATCGCGACGACGAGAACCACGCTCTTGAGCTCGATCGGGTCACTGACGCCGAGAATGTTCTTTCTAGCTTCCATGTACTTCTCGTCCCGAGGGGCCACGATGGGCCGGCCGGGTCCTTGCATCGCAATAAGCCCTCTGTGGGTGCCGGATTCGGCTCTGCGCACCGAAGCTCGTGTCGCGTTACTGCGTCCGAGCTTTCCTAGCGAGATCTGCAGGGTTCAGTGACGGTGTTCTGTCGCTGCCGTTCGAAACCGGGGTTCTCGAACTGGGGTCTGCGACCACGTGCCGGAGAGCGCGGAGGCGCTGCACGTGTGATCAGGCAGCGCGTTCGAGGGAAGACTGGAAATAGGCCAGGTTCTCATTTTGGATTCCGGACCCTGAGAGCAGCGGCCGAGAGTCGCGCCTAAAGTTTTCGGTAAGAACCTGAAAGTTGTTAGGTCGCCGGCGGCCCGGGCGCGCGGCGTCCCGCGCGGTTTCGATTGCGAAGGTGGAGGAGAGGTCGTTCGAGGTGAATTCTGGCAACGGGCATCAGCTGATGATGGCAAATTGTAACGGGAACAGAAAGGGGATGAATTGGAACCAGACCCGGTCGCTGAATTCGAACGCTCACAAGTTTACTAATGGGGTCTTGATGATAGGGAGTGAAGCTGAATCACTGCAGAGGCCGTTTGGTCACCAGGGCAATGGATTGAGCCATTTCCAGCCTCAGCAGCAGCAGCAGCAGCAGCAGCAGCCAGCAATTGCCGCAATCAAGGCAGATAGATTTCAGTGCGGGGGCAAGTTCAGGCGGGGTAATTACTCGAATTGGGACATTAGAGTCTGAGCACTCCGACGTCGAGGCTAATTGTAAAGACGAGAGAGGGGCAAATTTGGATGAGAGGAGACCAAGAAAGAGAGGCCGAAAGCCTGCCAATGGTAGGGAAGAGCCCCTTAATCATGTAGAAGCTGAGCGCCAAAGGCGAGAAAAGCTCAACCAGAGGTTCTACGCGTTGAGAGCCGTAGTCCCCAACATATCAAAAATGGACAAGGCTTCCCTCTTAGGGGACGCCATTGCTTACATCACCGAGCTGCAGAAGAAGCTGAAAGAGATGGAGTCAGAGAAAGAACGGTGGTCTGAGGGGACTTCAGGCGATTTCAAGGCCCAGGCAATTCAGAATCCTGAAGTAGACGTTCAAATTGTTCATGATGATGCAGTCGTTCAAGTGATCTGCCCTTTGGATTCTCATCCCATTTCAAAAGTGATACTGGCTTTCAGAGAGGAACAGATGAATGTAGTTGAATCGAAGGTTTCAGCAAACAACGGCAGTGTGCTTCACACATTCATCGTGAAATCGAGCAATTCAGAGCAGCTAACAAAGGAGAAGATAATTGCTGCTATATCTTGCAAGATGAACTCAACCTCAACATGACATTAGATAAATTTTAGGCTTTTGGTTGAGTTAATATGTTTTTGATGGCTATAGGTTTTTTTATATATGCTAATAGGAATTCATGGTCTAACCATGGGAAGATTACTAATCTGTAAGTCCTTTATAGTGATTGTTACTCTGATGTACTAAATGTGTTATTTAGGTGTATCTCCTCACTGTTTTTAATACATTGTCTAATACTTCGTAATTTTGTTGTGCCCAGAAAGTAAAAGCTTTGATGATCCTTTTTTTGTTGGTTATGAAGTTTTTCTTCAGGGGCTTCATTTTAATGAGGTACATTTTTTTCCCCCTCTCAAGTTCTAATTTTTAGAATACATGTGTAATAACTTGATAACTATCTGGTGCAAAATTTTGTTATGTTGTGCGTGCGTGTGTGTGTGTGTGATGGACTGTAAAAGCTCCATTTTGCATTTAAGACTCCGGTCATGTCATGAATTGCTTGTGTTCTCTATTAATTTTGGTGCCAACAATTTATGGTAAAACGTGCTTCTTTTGGTAATTTATGGAAAAAGCATAGCAATTCATTTTACATTTCAATTAGTTGTGGTTTTAATTTTCAGTTATGCTTGTATTTTTTTTTTCATTGGAAAAAGCATAGCAATTCATATTTTTGCTGTAAGTTAACATAATGTGAGCTTTTGGCTCTGTTTGGCAAAACTAGCTGAAAGCTGCGAGATTATAGCTGAAAGCTGTCAAGCTAGCTGAAAGCTGTGAAATTGTAGCTGAAAGCTGATAGCTGTGTAGCTAGCTGATTGACTAGAGCTGTTTGGCAAAAGAAGCTTTTGAATATCTCCTTTAAAGGAGTCGTGTGTCTTTGCTTTTATTTCCTGCGATGTGGCAATAAGCTACGCTGTGTGTATAGTTTCGATGTGTAATTGTAAAGGTTACTCATATTCCAAAATTCACATTTAGTGGTTTAGGAAGTTTCAATCTTCATTTTCTTGAGAAAAGCTTCGAATATGTCAGTGATGTGAATTCGGAATTGGGATTTCGTGAAAAAGGTTTCGGATACATTTTGATTCCCGCTTCGAGGACAAATTACTTTCCTGTCTTATGTTGTGGCATCAGTTCATAGCTATTGCCGTCTACGAAGCCTCCTCCTGGCGAACAGAGGGGACTTGCAACACGAGATAGGTACTTGTGTCTGAATTTTAGTCCAATTTCGGGGAGAGGGGTTCTCCTGCTTGTCTGAGCACAAACCAATTCCTCAAAATAGAATACGGCGATCGCAGGGAATGGCGATCGCATTTGCGTCATTTTCATAAAATAGCATATTTGATCTCGTCTTTATTTTCTTGGCATCCGATGCTATTGATCAATAGGCTTTGAGCACGTACATGCTATGCCCTTTGATGTCTCCATCCAGCATATTCATCATTGTTCATGTGATTGTCATGCGCTTGATCGGGCCGTCTCTTTAATACTGCAGTGTTTTAGGACTTTTTCTTGGTTGCTTGTGCGTTCGGCAAACCCCTAGATTATTCAATCTATTTATTGGATTTATCTCTGAAAATTTGACCCATATATGATTAGGTGAGGACTTAAATAGATCTTGGCAGTCTTGAGAGAGGGAGAAGAGAGAGAGAGAGAGTGTGTGTGTGTGAGATATCTTTTGCTTAAAATACTCGCATCTTCAACCCCCAAATCTTGGTATAGACCAAGACAATAATAATAATCCCTAATCAGGATTAAGTTTTAGCTTTTTTGTTATATTTTCTTTTTTAATTTTTATGCAATCTAAGTTGGTTAGTTGGTCAGTATAGAAATTCATTGTACCATGAACATAGAGAAAATGCTTACTATATTTTTTATTTTTTATTTTTCGCTCATGGGAATCATTTCCAATATTAGATGATGTAGTAAGGCGTTCTGCTATGTTATATCTCGAGTCTTCACCATCAATTAATTAATCATGTTAAGACTTTTTCCTTTTAAATATTTTGTTCTTATATAAAATGAGAAGATTTCTTCTTCTTAGTGCCTCCCAGGCTGAAGTTGACCTCTCAATCAGAGAGTAAGCCTTTCATTTTTATTTTTATGTTTCCTTGTTAACTTGAAGAGCCCCTCTTGGTTCTTTATTAATTTCTTTTTGTCCCTTATTAAGGGCTTTTTTTTACTTACAAAACTTGTGCAGGCTTCTGTAATTTGATGCTTTA